TGAGTGTATTTTCAGCTTTGTATGACAGTTTCTTGGCAGTTGTTTTGCTACTTTTGTGCCCTTGTTGTATACATATACTGGCATTCACACATTAGCATGCACAGGCAGGTTGTGTACTGTTCTTAATAGTAAAACCCTGTTTATAAGCACTGCAAGAAAAAAATAAATTTTAAATGTTTCAAACAAATGTTGCAGTATATTTTTTTATCTGGATCTAAAATAAAGTTTACATTTTCATAACTAGAAAATTAATGTTAAAAACTGTGAACTTGAGTTGAAACGGCAAATATTGTAAAGTCAAATGAACTTCAATAAAACAATTCAGCACTAGGCAAGATTTAAATTAGTGAGTTGAAATGACTTGTACTTTTAAGTTGATTTAACTTAAAATTTTAAGGCAGCCACAAAATTTAAGTTGAAAGGGGTGAACATTTTTTACAGTGCAGTATCTGTTTATTTCCACTTCTGAATATCCACTAGGATTTCGGACAGCGGAAACAACAACAACATACAACTTACATGCAAGTAGAAACAATGCCAATAGGCATTACATTAAGGAAACCATCTGACTGATAGCGACTGGTTGTTCTAAGAATATTTTCTCAGTGTTATCAATGGAGTGGAGGGATCAGCTGTAATGAAAATGGCCTTTTAAACCACTAAGGGAATGTGTTGAGTTGCATTTTTAATTTGAATGAGAGGGATAGGGCTAGCAGATTAACAAAAGAGCTGGAGAGTTCACAGTCCTCATCACTTCTTTGCAAGACACACTGAACTCCAAGACACCAGCAGTTACTGGAATGAAAACGTCTACTAAATGCAAGTAAACATCCCCACTCGAACAGCAGCTGCACCAACATGATTCTTAAGGTGGGTAATGGGACCACACAGACATTCTGTGATCTGTCTTCCACCACTAATTTCCACATTAGACACTGCCCACACACAATGTGGAACATCCCACTCAAGTAGCAGTTCACCATCAAGAATATCTCTGAATCACCTGCACACACATAACATCCTCTCTCAGATGATCTCTGCTGATCTCTGCTTAGTGCAACCATCTCAATAATGTGTGCACTGGAAGCATATAGGTAAACGATGAATTTCAATAATGCAATGCCCAAATGGAGAAAATATGGTAGATCTAGTATGACATCTATTTAGACCATCAACAAATAAATGGTAAGTTGCCTAGTGAGCTTAAATTTATAGAAAGTAGAGCCATTGATAAGTTTATGTTCAGTGCCTGAATTATGGGGGGTTTGGAAGGGCTCTGATTACACTAATTAATACTTGAACCCCCCAAAGGAAGTCAAAACAAAAGGTTTTATATGTTTTATTATATGTATTGGACAGTAAATCTACAAAATATAAGTCACTTTAGTTTTATACAGCACAAACATATCAAGATTTACATTGCACAAGAACCTCAAAAATTACTGACAGAAATTCTATTTAAAAGTCAACTCTCCTGAAAGTCATTGAATAATTCACACACTCCCTTTGTGTTTGTGTTCCTCTGGAACATTTGCAGGAATCATTCTGAGGTTACACAGCACTGAGGAGTCACTTGCAGGAGGGACTGAGTTTGGCGCCGCACCAGCAAGACTGCAGTGGCTTGCATCACTAAAAATAGCATCTGTTTGTTTGTTATAATTTCCAGTGCTGGCAGGAAAAAATATCAAATTCCTGAATCACCAAGCAAAAGTGCCCTCATAACTGTCTTGCTTACTGTAAGATCTCATTCACACAGTAAACAAAGCAGTTTATTATAATAGCAAGCGATCTATGACGGGAACAGCTAGTTTCTCCCTTGCACGGGCTTGATGAATAAACCAAAGCATAAGTTCACCAAAAATTACTAAAGTTTTCCTCATAGTTCTATTTTTTACCCAGTATGTTTCCTTCAGTGCAACAGAGCTGACAATAGGCAGAGAATCAAGCATTCCCCTGAGAATTTTCATTTTCTTTTTTACATTGTATTTCATGTTAACGTTACTTCAAGAAACTTTCAAATTACTTAAATTACACACAATTGGCACAATTATTACCACAAACAAGAAACCACTTTGTGCTTTAAAAAGTCCCTAACAAGTTGCTACATAAATTAGCCTTCTGGGTCAGCCTACTAATCGACATCGTGACAGTCAGGTTCTGGTAGTAAAAATCCCATTCAAAGGGAATTGATCTTGAACAATAACTTATAAATCTTTAGACAGATCTACTGTAAGCTACAAGGTTGTTAATTGATGGTATATGCTTATATGTATATCAGAGAATCGCAACACGCAAATTGCGCCAGAAGAACACTTTAGTGCCCACCCACTCCCATGAAGCACTGCAAATGACATAGGCTGTTTCCCAAATTGCCCCCTATACCCTCATTTACTATTTCCTACTCCAATAATATAGTCCACTGATTGATGTGAATGCTATCTTCTGGTAGACACAGGAAAATGTGACTTTTTTTTTACATTTTCAAATACTTTTTTAGGGCTGGGTTTTGACACAAACTTCACGATTCGATTCAATTCTCATTCACAAACTTGCGATTTGATTCGATTACCAATTCGATTCAATATCGATTATTTTGGTTACATAGCCCAGGGGTTCCCAAAGTAGGGGTCGACCACGAGGAGGGGTTGCAAGATGATTTCCAGAAATCAAATAATTTTTTAAAAGATTAGAAATAGCATATTTTACCTATAAATAAAAAATTACAAGTTGAATTAAAAATAAAACTCGAACGTGGAGTTTTGTACTCCAGTACGTTGCCCACCCAACTCATTGGGTAAGATTAATGTTGAAATGTAAGTAATGAGTAAATTACTATAAAATAATATTGTTGTTAGACTGTTGTGTTCCTTTGTGTTGTCATTATGCTATAAGTGCATGTGCGCCGTTGTGCAAAACGTTTGTATACTTTAAAACCCTCAGAGGAAAGTAGGGGTGCCGAGGTACTGGCACTGTTATTTTGGGGGTCGTGGGCTGAAAAGTTTGGGAACCCCTGACATAGCCTTTCAGGTACAGTACATGCCGAATTTTCTCAAGGAAAAAAACATCTCTCAACTAATGCTGTAAAATATACATGAGAGTCAGTTTTATAATAATTAAGTTACAATTAGCTACTTCAGTTAGTTTTTTTTAAATATACACAATCTGTCATAAAAACTTGGACGGATTTACTCAAATAAAACATGAAAGAACGGTAAAAAAAAATGATCCTCTCTACAGTTTATTTTTCTGGCTGACTAAGGAGTTTATAGTCACCAAATATGCTTTCTGAGGTAAATGTGATGTTACATCATAAATTGTTTACAAGCCGTTATATTGATGTCTTTGCGCGGCTGAAACACTGATTGAGCGATTACATGAGACAGGATACGGATTGTAAAGTTGTACTCTTTCTTTTAACTTACCTTCAGAGGTTTAGTCATGTTTATTTTGTGCCGAAGCTGGTATTAATGTGGAGGACATGATCAGTTCACGTGCGCCTCGCGCTGCCGCGTCTGTTGAACTGAGGCGCTACAGCGATCTGTCACTCCACATTAAACAGCGCCAAAACGGCATTTATTGTTTGAATACTGCAATACAATGGACATAAATTGAAATCTGAGACTTTGTTTCATATTAAAAGTACCAACGCACAATGCTTATTGCGATTTATTGGATGGGAGGTGCGCTTCAATGTTCAATTCATTAACTGAAAACAGGCTAGAATAATCGATTCTTGGGATTTAAGAATCGTTTTGTAAAAATGAGAATCGATTAAAATCGAGATATCGATATATTTTACCCAGCCCTACGTTTTTTGCTTCAAATCAAAGTTTGTAATGTGATTCACATTGTAGCTGGTTGATTTGGTTCATGGCTTTTAACTCTTTCACAAAGACTTTTTTTTAAATCCCTATGAAAAAATGAAGAGCATTTTTTCTGGAACCAAGGCTGATGTAAAAGTGGGAAGGCACTAGCTGTTACCCTCTATAGTAAACTAAGCTACACCTAAACTTCAATACTGATATTCCACAATCTCTTTCATAGAATCTATTAGGTTCATTTTAGACAACAACACAACCCAAAGTTAAGGGGTACTGGCAAAACCTGAGCAGCATAAACCAGGTTATCCTACCTGACTAGTGGAAGGGGGTTTCCAGTCACTCTGCATTCAAGGCGGATAGGGCTTCCTTCTGCCACCTCCTGGCTCTTCAGTTTCTGGGTGAAGCGTGGAGGACTCTTGGGTCCATCTAGACTAACCCCTCGGCCCTGATGCTCATCTGACCCAACATCAGCCCGAACCTGGTGCATACCTTCCTGCTGGGGCTCAGAGAAAGATGAAGATGATGAAGGTGGCTGAGCCTGCAGCATGGCCAGCCGCTGGCTCCTTGGAGACAAGTAGCCACTGTCAGGTGAAGAGGAGTCTTCATCACCTTGCAGGTCCACACGTGTGGAGCCTTTGAAGATGGAAGAGAGCTCTTCAATGAAGGTAGCAGCTCGGCTGCAGAACTCAGTAGCTGAAGCAGCTCGTTCGTTAAGCTCCAGGCCTCCGTGGACCAGCCGGGGACGGTCCTGCTTATATACTGGTGTGATGGATTTTTGACAGACAAACTTTTCGGGTGATTCAGGAGCAGTGCAGAGCTGGTTAGGCCTGCTGAGCGGCATGCTCTGATTGGATGTGACTTTACCTGATGTGGCGTCAGTTGACTGAGATGCTGAATCTGGGAGAATGGGGTCTTTGGTTTCTGAGTAAAGGGGCAGGTGCTCTGTGGGAACGGGGTGTTCATCTTGGTCATTTGGGTCACCTGCGTCACTCATGGCTTCTCGAGCCAGGTCCAGACTGAGGCTGATCTCATCCTGGCTCAGGAAAGCAGAAAGTTCTGGAAAGTCCCCGTCCCCACTCTCTAGCTCAGCCATTGAGTCCAAGTAAACCTCGCCATCAAGAGGTGGCAACGAAAGCATGCCCCCATCCCCCTCCAAGGACACGCCCCCTGGAGGACATGCCTCTTTCATCAGCAGAGAGAGGGGGAGTGTGTCATTCCATCTCCCGTCCTGCATCCTGCAATACACAAATCACCAAAGAGAAAGGTATGAAAAAATTGCGGACCCTAGTATTATTATTATTATTTTTTTTATAAAGATCAGATATATCAGAATCATAGTCCTAAAGACAAGCAATTTCTGCAATATATACCACATTCATGCACTTAAATTAGTGTAAACACACTCACACCGGAGACTGATCATGGGCAGTTGTCGTATGATGACTCAGGCTGGCATATTTTGGGCACAGCTGTCCGGCATTAACAAAGGCTTGTCATGAGGCCCAACAAGGCATGGGTGCAATTTAACACTCATGCTGACTTTATCTCTTTTATTCCCTTGTCTATCATCTACTCTTCACTGTCCCTACATCAATCTATATCTATTTTTCCAGAGCCTTCACCCTGCACTGGAGTAATGGCTGCTGAAAATTCAGCTTTGCCACCATAGGAATAAATTACATTTCAAAACATATTAAAATAGAAAACTGTTATTTTAAATTGTTATGTTTAAATTGCTGTACATTTGATCAAATAAATGCAGTCTTGGAAAACAACTCAGTGAGAGACTTTTCAAAAACATTACAAATTCTTACAGACCACTTTTGGACGATATTGTATATGAATAAAAATAATGACATATTTATATGTAGATTTTTTATATGTATAAACATATAAATAAAACATTGTATACAAATATATAACAGTATTTTGTGTATGATGATAGGTTGTGTAGGTTTCAGGAAGGGTTTTAAGGTTCCATAATGTCATGCTTTATGAATGAAAACAGATTCAGCAAATATTTACAGAATACAATGCTTGGTCTAAGTTGAGTCTAAATTAAAATAAATAAATAAAATATTTCATCCAACCTCCCAAATTCACACACAGTATTGTTGGATATCATAGACACTGAAGGATGCATCCATGCTGCCTTCCAAACCCAATCAGATGAAGGGATCTTAATAGGTAGGATGTTGCAGGTTAAACTTAAAATGTGGGAACTTATTAAATATATTAACATCCTGAACTTCACAAGTACAGATGGTACAGTTGATGAATAAATCTAAATTAATGTTTTAGAACTCATAGAAAATTGTTGTTTTAATTTATAAATGGCTTTATGACCCTATGTGGATTTGACTTTTGCGAAAAACACATTTAAATCTGACAGTGAATGATGGTATCCTCAATAACCTGTGGAGAGGATCCTTCACCATAATTCAGGGAAAGTGTTTGGTCTGACATACCGCACATTGGTGAAACATTAATATGAGACAGTGTCTGCAGCATAGCGAAACCCCTCAACCAACAGATCAGGTCTCTGAGAAAACACACCTCAGCTCTGAATACGTGCAGAACTGGGAACTGGCTGGTGTGTGTGAACGCTCCATGCACATGTCTGAGACACATTAATGTGTCCCTGCTAACTTTATGACTACATTTCCACTGTAAATGTTTGTTTACACATGTATATTTATTACTTATCGCCTATTAATTGATGTTATACAGTACTGTATAATAACCATGTCTCCAGGTTTTGTTATAGCCGACTTTGTTTACACAATGTTTATGTAAAGTGACCAGGTGTTGTATGTAAAGGTGTGCGGGCATGTGTGTATTTGAAGGGACGTGACAGTGTGACTTTCTCCTGTCATGGCGTCCTGAAGGCCAGCTGTTGTTATTTTTAATCCTCAAGGGCTGCATTTCACAGCAGCAACCACCTCCCCACCAAGAGTCCTTTTTTTACACATAAGCGCACACACACTGCTTCTACGTTATTCATGTGGAAATTATGGCCTCTTTATTCTGTATTGATGAATTATAGATAGCGGAATATGAATGTGACATGCCAAACAATTGTGAAAGCCAAGACTGACAGACTGACATGCTTGTTTTTCCATCTCTGACGCAAACAGTAGAATGCTCTTTATCAGAATTATTTGTAAAAGTGTAGAACTATTAATCTGATGCTGGATGAAATTGAATGAAATAGTGAAGTGAATGTAAAGCTGAAACCAAATATCTCAGATGACCATTCATTGAGAGCCATTCTGAATCTATAATTTACTTAAATTTATAGTCTTGAATAAGCAGAATGAAACAACTCACATGGAATCTTCTGCTTACAGACAAAAGCAAAAAGTCAATGACATTATGTATATATAGGCCTATATAAAAAACAGTCATTTACCTTAAGTCAGTTTTTGCAAATATCCGTCCTCGTCAGAAGGTTCCAGTTTTTCTGAACTTCTCTATGCCAGAAAATTAGAAAAGATGTGTTTCTTTCTTCATGGAGTTGTGGGTCTTTTCTCTGTCCTATGTTTCTTTTGTCTTGTTTGGCATAACAACGAGTAAATAATAACATAATTTTAATTGGGTAGATCGTTTCTTTATCATGAAAAAACGAGAGGCACGTCACTGGTTTAGGAGAGGTGTTTGAGACAGACGGCAGATGGGGTCATAAGTGGTGCAGTAGGAGTCTATTTCAGGACACTTATCACGTTCACTTCATAAACACCGACAGCACAGAGCTATTCCTGTTTCTCAACAATCAATGCACTGATTACAGTTGAGCCTCAATGACAGGAACAAGAAGATCTATCACTCAAAGTGCTGTCACAGAACAAACAGACCACTGACTGATTCAGAGCATTACTCTACAATCTCAGTCAGTCACACCAGTGAGTGAAAAATTATACTAGAAAGATTCTCTACCTGTGACGTCTCAGATTGGCAGAATACCCCATGCATTTTTAAACTGCCAGTTAATTTTCAAATGTGTTACTGAACATCTCATTTAAAATCATTTAGAATAATTTAAAAACTCTTAGCTACTATTCTCACAAATGTACAATTAAGAAAATATTCAGAACTTTTTTATAAAAACTGTTTTATGTATGTATGTACAGTATGTATGCATGTACAGTATGTATGTATGTATGTTAAATAAAGGATATATTAAAAAGCTTGAAAATGTTGTCTAATTTGCAATCAATAACTGCGTTCTGAGTAAACCTTGTATATCCAGACCTTAGACAGGACAATCAAAGGTCTGGTCCATATTGTAGCTTATTTAGGCCAACAATTTCTCCATTTCTAGTCAGATCAATTTAAAAAAAGAAATCAACCATGTGTTGTTGTTCTTGGAAAATCTATAAACTAGGGAAAGTGGTCACTGGTTTCTTTGCAATAAACTCATACAGCTTATGAAATGAATATGAAAATCTGTGATTAAGCCATGTGCATTTAAAACAAAAAAAATTCAACCAACAAGAACTCTTCAAAATGCCAACATAACATGTTCCCTCCATTTTTTTTACCTTGTGCAAAAACATTTTCAACATTTAGCTACTCCCAGTCAGTATATGCAAAGCATGCTGGGAACTGGAGAACTCCTGCCCAGTTTCAGCAATGCTATGCCAACTATGCCAATGCAAATGGATTAAGTAAACTTCTGTAGTGTTTTCCACCAATAATTTTGCCTGATACATCTATTATTATTAATGATAAATATATATAGGTAGAAAAGAAAAATATTACTTGTGTAAAATTATCAATCATTCCCAGTTTGTAATTTTGTCAAATTATACAAAAGGAGTGAAAATATTGTGTAGGCTATTTAGGATATGCTAGCTCTGAAATTTGCCTTAGCAACACAAAGGACCTTGCCATTTTATTCCATTCACTTGCCTTCTTTTTTTTTTTTTTTGGTCCTGATGTTGGTCCTTCCACACCACCATCATTTCCATTGAACATATTATTTGTATAGTAAATTATTTCCAATTCATAATTTGATCTGGAAATGTAACTGCAGTGGAAATGTTGATGATGACAGAAAAAAATACTGAATTGTCCTGTGATGCATTTATATCCAGTGTTAGGGATTAGTAGATCAGCTAAATAAAGTAGCTAGAAAGTGAAAAGTGTTTTAAAAAGCTATTAAGGCAAAAAAAAATATAAATAAAATAAAAAACACTAAAAACCAGCATATGCTGGTTAGGTATGTTTTGACGCTGGGATGCTGGTTTATGCTGGTCCTTTGCTGGTTTATGCTGGTCCTTTGCCAGCACATGACCAGCATATAAACCAGCAAAAGAACCAGCATAAACCAGCAAAGGACCAGCATAAACCAGCATCCCAGCGTCAAAACATACCTATTTCAACAGGTGGCCAAACATTGCATATGACACGCTCATAATCTGTATCATTTATTTACAATAATAAGAATCGTTACAGAAAATCTTGGTGCTTCTGAAAATAATGATCTCTTTCTTTATGCGAATTTTTTCATATTTATTTTGCTGATAAACCGAACCGAACTCGTCGTAGTTGACAGGTTTCGTGATGCTCACTCTTGCTCGTTTCGCGTTTTTTAAATGCATGTTGACCCATTTGTTGTTCCGTAGTCATCATGTCATTGGCGGTCAGAATCACGTTTCATTGGTCGCACTGCTATGCTCTATCTTTATGAATTATGAATGTGTTTACAGTACAAATAAGAATATATTAATGTTTTAAATCAACTTCTCTGTACGTATATAATTTAGAAGACGAGCTTGATTGTGGAGTTTATCATTAGTCGTCGTTTATCTAGTAAGTGCGTGAAGTCTTAAAATCAGGCGAATGTTGTGCAGCATTGGAGAAATAGTCACTCTAGTTAACTATTTTTTGTCATAAACGACTGTAGGGCATGGAAAGTTTCAGTTAATAGATTGATCTGCGTTCATCATAACTGCTGTCTGTCACTCAAGCAGCAGATAACAGCAGTCTGATCCTGGACTGATCAATGCTCTGTAAGACTATGATACAAGTTATCAGTACTGATGGTGTCCGCACTAATGGACTTCTTTCCTTCTGCAGGGTTCAGCAATGCCTGCTTTTCGCCAGGTCGGGGAGAAACAGCTCCCCAACCCCATTCTGTACATGGCCTGGTCACCTAACAGAGATCTGATCGCCCTGGCTAACACTTCAGGAGAGGTTGGGTGTTTTAGATGTACACATACCTGTCATCTGTTAAACCAGACTCTCAATAGATCCTTACCTATAGGATTGTAATGGAGGTTCATTAGACTATTCTGTCATTACAGCTTCTCCTGCATCGGCTTGCCAACTTTCAGCGGGTCTGGAGTTTACTGCCCAATGAGAACACCGGAAAAGAGATCACATCACTGGCCTGGAGACCTGATGGGAAAGGTAAACTCAAATATAATTTCATTGCCTTATTTGTATTTGTATCAGGATTATGATAGTTACCTAAACCATTAAAAATGTTACTTGAAATAAAATAAATGTTAATAGATAGATAGAGAGATAAATACTGTTTTATTTAATCTATAAGTACTAAAATAAGTAAAACTGAGATAAATATTTGTAAAAAAAAATTGGACATAAATAAAATGACAAAACACAGTGAAATAACTAAAATTAGCTTAAAAATAAAATGAAATGGAAAATATATCAAATAAAAACTATAATGATATATATTGATATTAAAATGACATTGAGACATATCACTGCACTGCAGTCTTACTGAAGTGTACTTTACTTTTATTAATTCATTCATGAATACAGCATTCATATAATTTGTTCATTTTTTGGCTTCTTCTTATATAATTTCTAACTTATAAAATGTCCAAGTCCTAATGACCCAAATGTGTTGAAAATATACACTTTTTTTATTGCTATTTAGTATTATATATTAGTTTTATTATTTTTTTCTAATAAATGTACATACAACTATGTTGTCTTGTGCTTGTTATCATTGTTATTTTTTTTACTATTTTTACATAAATATTTATGTACACTTCGTGCATAATTATTAGGCACGTTGATATTCTGATCATATTTTTTTCCAAGCACATTTGACCAATTCCAAACCACATGAATCTTAATAACTACTATTAATTTTGTATTTAATCATTTATAAGTGATATATAATTGTCCATGAAGGCTGGAAGTGAAAAACTCCTTATATTCAGGTGTGTAGAATTATTAGGCAGGTTTTCTTTTACAGATAAAATGAGCCAAAAAAGACTCAGAACTCAGACTGAAAAGTCAAAAATGATTAAATCCCTATGAGAAATATTCAAAACTAATGCAATACAGAAATTGCAAAGTAAAGATCTCTTGTAGAACCAATTTAATTGTCAAAAATGTGCTGCTTCTGATTCATTGCATATTTGACAAATAAAAACCTAGCTTTTAAGCAATAATTAATGTCCTGTTGTTTATGTTACATAACTAAAAAAACTTACAATTTCAGCCATATTCTGAAGTATCTACCAATGTTATATTACTGTTGTCTGCAGTCCTGGCATTCAGTGTGGGAGACACAAAGCAGGTGGTGCTGTGTGATGCAGAGAAGGCAGAAATCCTCCACCTGTTCCCTGTTGAATACCCAGCATCCTGCATGCACTGGATGGAGGTGCAAGATGACAGCAGGTGGGGGGTTTTATATAAAGAGGATCCATTTTCTTTCTCTATTGATGACTTGGTTTCATTAATCTGGTTTATGTTTTTTCTCTCTAGCACATTGTCCTCATTCAGCGAGTCCGAAGATGAGTCCAGCCATTTTCTTCCAAAGTTACCCTCTTTACCTAAGAGGTGAGACTCTGAGCTTTGGTTTGTCTACCAGATGACTGAATGAGAGTTTTTAATGCTTTTCCATTTTCCTTTTGGGCTGTGTTTGTGTTCAGCTACAGCACCACATCAAAGATATTTAGGTAAGAGGGCATTTTATGTGCTTAATATGCTGATTATCGATCTTTTTCTTTGTCATACTCTTTATGATTGGTCATCTGTATGCGGCATGTGTCTGCTCTGGTTGATTATTATGTGTTATTTTGTTTCTCTTGCAGTGAAGAGAAATCAGATGAAGTCACAAACCTTTTGGGGGAAGTGAGGTCAGTGTTGTATTTGTTGACCTGCTTGGTTGATACTTTTCTGAAATTGTATTGTGCCTTTTATGTAATGTGTGATGTGTCTTTGCAGGCTCAGTATCCTGGTGGTGGGAGGACTGTCTGGATTTGTGGAGCTGTATGCGTATGGACTGTATAAGATTGCTATGCTGAGTGGAGTAGGATATCAAATTTTCATTTATAAAAATGGAATAAAAATAATATAAATAAAGTTTTTGTAAAAGAAAAAGAAAGTTAGTAACACATGTTTATGTGTCTCTCAGATCTCAGGGACATGCCGTAGTCTTGGTCTGTCTAGTGACCTCAAGTCCCTCTCTGTTATTACAGAGATTAGATCCACAGAAGACAACCCTGAGATACATTACATACAGGTAAAGTCTGAAAACATTATTTTTATCCCAACATTGTCATTATCAGT